GTCTAAAGGTCAATGGCTACGCAAAAGCTACGTAGCTTCAAGTTTTCTGGCTGTCAAGTCAACTACCTTTTGTAGCACGGTGCTGGTGTCCGGTTGTTTGGGTTGTTGGGTATTCGCCTGGCCAAACAATCCGCAAACAAATCCTTGATTTATGCGCACATCCTTGCGCACAAGCCAAACATTTATTTCCTTATCCACTTGTGCCAATGCGATTTGGCCAGGCAATGTCTTGGCCCTGGCCAGCAGTAAAAGTCGCTGCTAGCAGACACTGAAATGGACACAAATACACTATGCACACACACACTCACACACACATACACATGCTGGGCAATCAAATGAAAGCAAACTAGCGCCTGGGCTAACTGCCATTGTCAATTGTTGTTGCTGCTGTTGTGGCTTCTGGTCAGCGTGTGTTGACGATGATTTAGTATTATGTTGCTTCAAGGATTTAGTCGTGTACTCGAGCATGTCTGCACTGCATCCCAGTGCCTGCAACCTGTGTGTGCGTGCAACTAGTGCAGCCAACTTAAAACAAAAAAAAAATAAATAAATAAGAAGCTAGATCATGTGGGCAAAAGTGAGTCAAAGAAAATGCTATTTAGTTTATAAAAATTATTTGCTGAATTTTCGCAGCTAGACGCTTTTAAATCCCAACAAGTTGAAGCTTTTTTAAATTCTGCTGCTGTTAAAATTCCTAAGGTTCTTGAAATATCCAAAACCTGCTGTTTTTTCCAGGTGTTTAAACCTGGTGTCTATACATTCCTTTTTGTTAGTAATTTTAAGTTGTTTATGTTTATCTTGAAAAACAAATACAGTGATGTCTTTCACTGCAATCAAGTCTTTATTTTCTGAGTATATTGATGTTGTATATAAAAAACATATTGGCCAATTCTTTATATACCTTCCCTAAGAAAAACTGATGCACGTAAATTTCAGATTTTTTATTTGCATTTAAACTCTATATCTGTTAATCGAAAATGTATATAGATGCCATTAGCTCGAATATAACTCGTAACGTCTGCCTGAAGGCATTTAATATAACTTTTAGCTTTGAGGTTGAGCATCGAACTAAAAGCGACAGGTTGCTGGTTCAAATTTAGCAGCATTTTAGATACTTATGCCCTTGAAGAGGTTATAATTATTTTTTCCTGAAATGTGTTACACATAAAAGGAGACATCCCCAACCCTATATGGAATATGTGCCAGCCAGATCGGACCACAATATTGCATAGCTGCCATAGGAACAATCGGTCGAAAAGTAGGTTCTGATATGGCAAGATATTTTCATCATGCTCAGCATTTACGAGCTTTACTATTCTCACATATCTTCAAAACGAAAATTCGTACAAGGGTTTAAATCTTCGGCGTGCCTTAGGTTTGTTTATAAGTATTGCCTAGTAAAACATATACTTATAAATATTTTAGCTAGCTTTTACTTCTGCCACAAACACACATTCAACAAAAAAGAAGCCAAATTTGGCAGGAAATAGGCGAAATGTGCAGCACTGGCTGCAACCTGCGCTGGCTCCTTGCTATTTGTTCAACTTTGATACATAACCTTGAATGCGGTTCGAATGCGGTTTGAATGTTTGCCTTGCATTCATCTCAATCTCAATGCGGAATGAACTACAGCTGCCAATGCTACTCCTTGAGCATCCTTCGGCTGCTGTTCCTCTGCTGCTGCTTCTGCTGCTGCTGTTGCTGTTTGCTTATTTGTACAAATGGCTGCTCGTTGTCTGTCTGCATTCACCTCGCTTCCGCCCGCAGCTCTGGCTGCGTGTTCATAAATTCACTGACTGCTGCCGTCTTTGGAATGTGTTGCTAAAAATTCTAGATAAATGATCTTTTGTCGCTGTGCGCGTAGATATTTTAATATTTTGCCTTGAAACTTGTCTAGCTGGGAACTCTGGCACGGCAAAAGTCCTTGACTAAGGGCAAATCAAGTTCATGGCAAATGCAACAGCAGTCAGCAGCCGGCAGCTGCACTCTGCTAATTCCATAAACACTGGCAAATCGTCTGAGCTCTTTGGCTCTGGCCGGGCAGACGCCGCGTGCCTGGAATGTTGCACATGCAGCACACAGTTTCATGTTGCATACTTTTGCGCGCATCCTAATCCAGCAGCGGCAGCAGCCCAAGTCGCACCCTCTGCCTCGCCAGCGTCTGACATACACTGCTCACATGTGGCATACCTCCTTTTCGTAACTACGCCAACAAGCCTCTTCGATGTTGCCTTATTAATGACCCAGCATAATTATTATCCGGAATTGTGACAGAGACCCTGCGCACAGTGGTGCAGTTCTCAATGCACCGATGATTGGCAATGATCATCAACGATTGACGATAGTTCAATATAGATGATATTGTATCTATGTGTATTAATACCAACAAAAATCGATAAATAAAGCGTATATCTAATTTTAGAGTTGTTATTATTAAAAATCAAGTTTGTGTCGCGAATGACATTCCTTAGAATGGGTACATTTTTGATGACGACTGTTCATTTAAGGGATATATTTTGTGAAGAAAATTTAAAATTCCTTTCATAAAATACATATATAAATTATACAAATTTGGAACTTCATAAATTTTCAAAAAGCTTAAGTGGGATATTTTTTTGAATATTTTTTTTTTTTGAAGCTTATTTTGAAAATTTAAAAATTTTATTTTTTAACTTTCTCAACATAAACTTGAAATTAGTACTTATTTTCAAGTTGATTAAAGTCGAATTGAGAAATTGCAATTAAAAATAAATTTTAATAATATGTATATTTTTTAATATAAACATTAAGTTGAATAAATTAAAATTCCATATTTATACAAATTATGAAAAAAAAAAAAACAAATTATAAAGGTTTAAACGGGAAATACAAAATTTAAGGTATATAAAATACACCAAATATTCTTTAAAAGGTTTCTCAACATAAACTTGGCATTAATACTCTTTTTTTTTAATATTTTGGAAGTCGGATTTAGTAATTGAATGTATCTAATATATAGATATATTAAGTATAAATTACAATTCCATTTTTAAATATAAAATTGTGTTTAATTTTCTATCAGCTTCTTACTTTTGCTCACATGTTCGTAGACTGCACACCACTGTGCAGTGTGTGCGGCGCTTTTCGTGGACTGAAATTAACACGAGGCCACTAAGCCGCAAGCGCTGGCACAAAAGAAAAACTAATTTTCTGCTGCTGATTTCAAATTAACTGAATGAATGACTGAGTGAATGCGAGACTGAGTTAAATACACGCATATATATCTCACTCTATATGCACACACACACACACACACACACATATATATATATAGAGAGAGATATATAGATAAATCTAAATGCCATAATGATGGCAAAAAGCCAGCGATGCCTCAGTTTTCGCTCATGTTTCATTGGGATTTGTGTTTGTGGCTTTTACATTACAGTTTACGAATTCAATTTAAGTGTAGCTATTTGTGTTATATATATATATATATGATACATATGCTATATAGGGATGCTATTCTGGAGGAGACGATTGCCTTATTTGGTCTGCGGCAGCTGCGCCTGTAATTAGGCAACGGCAATTACCTGAGTTTTGGCCATTGGCTCGCTGAAAACGGGTCTAATAATAAACGCACAACATTTGGCTGCGACCTCGCTTGAACGCATTAAAGGCCATGAATTTCAATTGCCATGTACATGCCCCTTATGTCCTGCTTGTGCGCTGCTTGCAGGCGCATTACATTTTTATTAATCTTGTAGCAGCAAGTCTTTTTGTCATATATACATAAGTACACACACACATTCATCACACACACACACACACAAAAGACTCTAATTCCCTGCAAACATATTTATTTGATTTAATTTTTATAAGATTTTTTAATTAAAATCGTCTTTATGTAGCGCCCCTTGACAACCGCTGATATCGCTCTTCAGCTTATACCCTATAAGCACGGCTGTTCCGCACTTAAATACAGCATTAAAAAAAGCACAACACAAATTGGCATTGCTTAGCTCAGCACTTATAAAACATTGCCTCGAGCGGTTTTTGTGGCCCGGCTATTATTTAATATTTATGCCTGGCTGCCTTTGGCAAACGTCATTTGAAACTTGCCTATTTGGTTGTTGAAAATTCAAGCACAAAACCAAAGCCAGGGCTGCTTGAGAGCATTCAAAATGTTTATAATTGTTATTGTAATAACAATGTATAATAATAGATGCCTAATAATGCTGTGATATATAGATGTTGGTGAACCGAAAAGGCATTAGAAATTGGTCAAAGTTCTTGAATAAAGTTATGTTAATGTGTGTGCTCGGTAGAAGGGGGCATTTCCGACCAGTTTTATATATTATTTAGAATAGTTAGTTAGATTTAGAATACATTTGTATAAATGCAGCTTCATTAATTCAGAAGATTTGGTATAAGCCACCTTATCTTACCTGCAATCTTAATGCCCTTAAACTCATTAAAATCGAGCTGTGAATCTAAAAGTTATTCAAGAATGCATTTTATATAAACTTGCGGCAAGAGGAAAAAGAGGGTGTGTGTTTGTGCAAGTGCGAATGCCTATGTCTACTCTGGTGTAGGGTATCTGCCACTCGGGCAAGCTCGACTGGAGCACTCTATATCATATAGCATAGGTTTACTAAGCATAGCATATCACAATAAGCATATTAGTATTCACAATAAATTTGCAAGCATTCGCATTTATTAACTCTAGTTCAAACTTAAATTTTGTGAATTATATTTGGCCAAGATAATGTGTGTGCGCTTGTTTCTTTGACACCCAACCCTGGCATTTAATAGAAGTATATTACAAAAACCTAAACAGAAACTCAAACCGCAAAAACAATTTCAAATGATATAATTCCTATTGCTCTTGTCTTTGCTGTCGGCCGCAATTGGTTGTTTTTTGTAACTTGATTTGATTTATTTGGTCAAGTCAAGAGCTTGACTTACAATTATAGAATTGGACTTAACTAATGTGTATATCTAACGCTTCTTTGTTTTTGCAGTGCTGAGCAAGGGACAGGGCGAAACGTGTCGCTACCGTCTACTGGGCAAATTTGGCGGCTACTGCTGGATCGTGACGCAGGCGACGATTGTTTACGATAAGTTAAAGCCGCAGAGCGTTGTCTGCGTAAATTATGTCATCAGGTGAGTTCCATCGTTTGACAGTTTCTACCTCAACTAACCGATATAGTCTTATAAGTTATATTAATGAGCCTGAATTGAGCTGAGGCGGGCGGCCAAACAATGCCAAATATTTGCTCATTTACAAAGTCGGAGGCGGTTCGCGTTTTTATCATTTAATTAAACGCTGCCTAAAGACGGTAATTTGCATTGCCGCAATTTTATAATTAATCAAGCGTATTTAATTTCCCGTTGCACACTTTTGAACATGACATGCCATTACACCCAACCCACAATACCCTGCCCTACCCGCAGACCGCGTATCCACGAAGCATTCACAGCTGCTTCATTGAACTGCAAACGGCACAGGGACAAGATTTACATAGAGACGCACAGAGATTTTCCGCTTGTGTTTTTCTTCTTGTTTTCATGTGAAACGCACAAATAATTGCGTCAGTCAGCGGCAGGCCGCTGTCAACAGAATTGATTTGATTTGATTTGCTAATCTGCCTCTTTTGACACCCTGTAAATATGAACAGAGCAAAATAAAGGCGTGTAAGTGGGGTATATAGCATTTAAGGTTTAAGAAGCCTACCAATTATTAGTATATATTCAACATGTTTATTAGGTTTTGGTAATGAAATGCCTGTAATTCATGAAAGTATTGTCCTTACACTTTGTACTTCCGCACAGGATATCTCCAGGTCAATCATGCTCTCATATTTCTGTTCCAGATATTGACGTTCTGTATGACAGTGCCTACCATTTCCTTCAATTGATTGGAAAACGCGCCTGCCAACATGACGTATACTCAATCAGTACATAAAATTAACTTTCGTCTGCGGCTCAAAATATTTCACAAATTTCTGTATAGCCAATTCTTTGGTACACGTGTCCTTTAAGCATATTTATTTATGCGGCCAGCCTTACGTAAATTTGTATTTTTATGTACCCTTTCGACATGCCTCACGCATTTATGAATAAAATAAAGAGTATTTATTTTTGTATCCGTTAATTTGTGCGTGCATTATGGAAATTGTTTATGCTCGGTACGTGTCGAGCCCTTTTAACGAGTGACCCAAGCCGCAAGCACCATCAAATAAATAAATAAAGTCCAGGAGAAACCTTCTGTTTTTAACTGAGTTGTGACATTTGCATTCGAAGTTATACAGTTAAGGTTACATAGAAATGCTGGAAAATGGTACAAAATTCTAAAGCTATCGATTAAAAATAGCAATCGATGGTTCTGATAACAAATAGTCAATGAAGCTATCGATTACAAATCCCAGTTGATAGTTAAGATATAGTCAATATGTGATATTAGGGCTAACTTTTATTAAAATGCTCTTAAAGAATAATTCAAATAATCGATACAAATGCGATTGGCAGTTTGAAATTTTACCAGGGCCAATGTTAGGCACATTCTTAAAATAATCGGAAAAACTATCGATAACAAATCGCATTTAATAGTTGGATAGTTAAAGTATTATATTAATTATCGATACGACTATCGATAAAGAATCTCAACTGATAGTTAAGATGTTCAATATGTTTATTGAAATGCTTTAGGGAATATGTTTAAAGTACATAACTATCGATGTTGATAAAATTAGATACTATCGATAACTTAACACGAAATGCGTTATCTTCGTGGTGCTTGCAAGAAACAAACTCGATTTCATACAGAAATCTAGTGAATTTAATAGTCTGCCAGGGCGTCCCACATATAGTCGCAGGGCTTCCCCATACCTATAAATAATGTGTATATAACATTCCCAGCACCCCAAGCACTCCACCCCATTCATTTCTCTTACTTCCAGCTTGCGCGTAAGTATCCCAATCATAAAGTATTTATTTCTGTTAAAATTAAGCGTTAATGAGCAAATATTTGTGCATTGTTTTGTTTGGCCGATTTCCGGTTCTCGTGTTTCTCTCCGTTCCATGTTTTGTTGGAGCCGAAAATGAAAATGTGCTTTTAATTGCCATTTCAGTTGAGTTAGTATAGGGGTTATTATTTTATTTTGTTATCCGCCCTCCCTCCCACCATAAAAAACTGATGACCACGTGCCGTCATCGTTTGTCAGTTACGTTTCATTTTTTTTGTTTGCTTTTTTGGCTGTTTAAATTATTAATTTAATTATTGGGCTTTAGTTAGTCATCAGCATTATATTCAGAAACAACTGTGCTTCAACGGCAACAATGCCTTAACCTTTGAAAGCCTCTTGTTAATTGATGTTATTTATTAACCTGTTAATACAGGCATACCTTCATATTTGTTATATTTTTTATTTAACTTTTGACATAATAACTAAACACTAATCGATTGATGAGATGCTTGGTTATGAGTAAGAAAGGGGGATTTTCTTACATCCTTTTTAGTTTTCCAATCGATATTGTTAACTTAATAATTACTCTTTTAAAAACGATTTTTTATAGAATAGTAAAATATTGTAGTATTTTATATTATTCAATTTCGGGAACACCTCTTCTAGTTTTCCAATCGATATTTTTAACTGTATAATTACTTATTCGTTTACATTTTGCATAGAAGTGTGAAAACTAATATCATATTTTATTATTTATGCCTCTAATTTCGGGAACACCCCTTTTAGAATTTTAACGGAATCAGCCTTACATTTCCTAGTAAAAATGTTCTATCAGCCATGTTGTAATACTCTTTGATAACATTTAAGCTGTTACCTTTTGCATAATTTCGCTAATATGGCCAAAACTGAGAACAGCTTTAGTTGTATATAATTTACGCTCGTGTGCATTTGAATGATGATAAATTTTATTGGCAGCTTTTGTTCGGCTCGTTGTTGCCCTTGTTGTTGTGTTTGTTGTAATTGCTTGTTGTATGCTAAATTGGAAAATAAAATTACGACAGCGAAAGAGGAAAGAGGCGAGAGAAATTCTCTGTTTTTCTGTTGCTTTGCCAAAATGCAAACATTGTCAACGCAATTTTCTATTCGATTTTTCTGCTCTTCGGCGTATTTACTTGGGCTCTTTATTTTTGTTGTTGTTTTGGCATGTGGCTGGGTTAAATGCCTGGCCATATGGGTTAAGTGTTTGGTTTGTTTATCTATAAGATCATTTCGCACTAATTGTTTGATCAGAATAATATATATATATATATATATATATATATACATATACTTAGCATAGTTCATATATGTTTGATACGATGATGGGATTTGATGGCCAGCTGTCACACATTACTTTTACCTGCTGCTAATGAACAACATTTCTTGGCTAATGAGTTTTGGCACGGCGTCAAGGCCGTGAAAGCAAGTGAAAATCGCATAGTATGCGTAATGGCCTTGGCTATTTATGGCGAATGTGTCGCAGTTGTAATTGTCGTCAGTTTAGCCCTAACGAGCTTCATTCTTGATCTACGCCACGAATTTAATTAAAAAGCAACAAGCGCAAAATTCATATACTTCACAAATTATGCGATAATATAGGAAGAGATAAATTTGGCTAAGGAATCAAGCCGAATGCCAGATACTCTCTTTAAAGCATTTTAAGAACTTTATATAGTTCTTTAGACTATTGATTCTGAATCATAAATTGCTTTTACTCAGAATATTTATTTTAGGGCTTTCCAAAATTTCATATTTATTTGGATGTTTAAAGATTCTGAAAAATTCGGCTTTAAAATCGAACAAAACTGAATCTTATAAGAGTGCTTCGCGCAGTTGTCTGAGCGTCGAACCAAGCAAAGAGAAGTTTCTGGTCAAAGTTCTGCAAAAGGATTTTATTATGTGCCATGAATATCTACTCCACGTTTTCCTCAGCTAGAGGATTTGGAAACCAGCGAAAATTGTCAGGCGTGCTAATTAACTATGTTTAGTTTAGTAAGGCTCGAACAATTTGCATATTTATAGCGCGCGTTGCATAATTTTAGGCGGTTTGCGAGCTACTTTTAATGTCCATCCTTGTTCTTGTTGTTGTTGTTGCGTTGCGTGTGTTGTTGTTGTCGCCCTTGATTAATCGAATGTGACAGAGAGTTGCCAGGACTTGGGGTTAGACTCTCTCTCTTTCTTTTTTCCTTGAGGCTTTAATGGAATTTACACGAGTTCTTAACACTTTGGCAAAAGTTTGCTAAGCTCAGAAACGAGCCTTTTGTGTTGACGGCAACAGCGCGAGGCAATATTGTGGCTGCTGCGAGACTAAAAATTAAAACAATAAATTAAAGCCCAGGCAAGAATAACATCTGCAACATCTGAAGGCTAAAAAGAACAAATCATAGCACATTTTTGGGTAATAAAAGTGTGCTTTTATTGTCCTTTCGAAATCCTTTTTACTAGACAATTTAATTAATTTTAAGTGCTGCACATTGTTGTTAATTAAACGGGTCTCAAAGCAAAGCCATATATGGCCCATACATGCCGCACAACGTGGCGTATGCGCAACCTGCTCAACCCGAAATTCAATCAAGCAACATTTTTTCTTATTGGTCAAATTGTGGGTTTTCAGCATGTTTAGGTTGTTTTAGCCTTTTCCGTTTTCTTATGCTTCATTGCACAATGTCCGTTTGTTGTCCTCGCTTCTGGCGAACGGCAAAAGTAAAAACTTTATTTCCTTTGCTGTTTTTACTTTTTATTTACTTCGGGTTTTTTATACGTTTTTTTCTTTTGGGTAGATTTCTGTTTGCCCTATTTAAATTCTTTTTATGGCTTGTGGCATTGCACTGGCACCCGCCGCCTCTCGCTTTCAGTTTTGGGCCTAATTTCGATTTCTTCCGAGCGATAACTTTGGTCAGTTGCTCGACGTGCGCCGGACAAAAGGCAAATTGAAAAAGTTGAGGTAGTTACGACCCATCAAAGGACAACACAGCAACGCATTGACCTTAATTGCTTTTTTTCTCTCTTTTCAAATCAATCGTTTTTTTACACACACGCAGGTTTACTTTTTGGTTAAGAATTAACGCGCTTCGTTTTTTATTTCCTGGCTGCTGTCTTTTTTGCTCTCTCTCTCTTTCCCTGACTCTCGTTTTAATTTGTTGGCGAATTCTGGGGCTC